GCACAAAAAAAGCTACTTACTGTTTCTTGTGTAATTACTCTGAAAACTGTGTTGGAGTGTTCCCAAGATGATTTCATGGGAAAACTGTTGGATATTTTAATAAAAAAGATCATTATTATTTTGAATTCATTCACATGCTTATTTTGAATTCAAATACAATGAGTTACAAATTTTGAAATGAATTTTCAGTTACAAAATGACCATTAAAAATGTAACTTATGAGTTACAAATTTTGAAATGAATTTTCAGTTACAAGATCACCATTAAAAATGTAACTTATGAGATTTATGTCTTGTTTTTTGTAACCTATGTGATGATTAGGTTTTAAGAATTGATTTATTAAATTTTGACTATTATACAATGACTTAGACCTTTTCAAATTTTGTAACTGAAAATATGACACATTTATTCCATTTAATGGTGGTATTCTAATACTCCTAAAATTCTAGCCTATAAATAGAGGCCACTATCAACCAAGTTTTAGACACTTTTCTTGCTATCTCAAAAAACTATCTTCCTCTCACTTCTATTGGACATTAGTTGTTGAGAAGAGCTTTAGCTTCTCTAAATTGTGTAGATTTAGTAGAAGCAACAGCATAGGCTGGGCTGTTGTACCCCAGAGACAACGTGCCATCAACCTTCTACACCGGGCATAATCCCGAGAGGGGCGCGAATCGTCTTAAGAGAGCGACCTAGTCCACGCCCCACCTAGCCAAAATTACTTTACTTCTCTTTCTTTGACTTTTGTTTTGCAGGTTGATCGGGCATATCAAGTTCTAAAGGAACAATAAATACCAATCACAAGCGTCAAGTATTGCAGACTGTAGTAGATGAAGAATTTGGCTAATTGATTAAAATATTGTTAGATGACAAAAAAGTTAGTCAAATGTGGTGGCTTGGCTGATTGGTATCAATATATGCTCGTCGTGCCATCAATTTTTTTTAAAAAAAGCTTTCTGGCCGTCGCGCCATATAGGAGCGACGGCTAGAGAATGCAGAAATTTTTTTTTTAAATCTTTCTAGCCGTTGCGCCATGTAGGAGTGACGGTCAGAGAATTCAGAAATTTTTTAAAAAAAAAAAAACCTTCGGTCGTCACGCCATTCAGAAATGTTTTTTTTAACCTTTCTACAATTCAGAAAAATTTTTTCTTTTAAAAATTATTTAAAATCAAAATTTTTAAAAACAATGCAGACAGTCCGACAAAATTTTAAGAACAAACACTGGCCTCGCGTAGCATTTTAGCATTTTAAAGGATGCTAGATTTTAAAAATTTGATCCATTTGTTAAATGATTTAGGGGTTCGTTAAAGAATTAAGGTTTACCATTTTAGCAAGTTTAAGTTATATAACATGTTTAATTATTATGCTTGTTAAATTTAGAAAATGGTTTAATAATATGATTTAAGTTTAAGTGATTGCATAATGGATGGAAGTATTGCTTAATATTATTATGATTTGTTAATTTTAACTTTATTATCTATAATTCCGATAGAATGTTAAAGGAGCCGTAATTGTCTTAAAAAATGAAAAATTACAACACGAATTGCAATTTTTATATTTAAATTTTCATATAAAATGCAATCATATAAAAAGATTAATAACATATTTGTAGAAATGAAGAATTGTTTGTGTGTCATTATTTGGTATACGATAATTAGTTTAAATAATTTAATCAATTAAAATAGCCATAAAATAACTAGTACTTATTTGTTTTGTAGGTATTATCCTATAGGGACCCTTCTATCCAATTATAGGGTTTAATAAAATAACTTGTACTTCTCTATTTTTAAAATATTTAATGTTATTCAAATTGAAAGTGATTGGATTAAACAGAAAAAGTAGGCAACTAAATTAAATTAAATGTCAAGATTGTGTGGAATGCATTAAATGGATGAGATATAAAACATTGTCGAAAACAAAATAATATCGATGCCTCGTCGTTTTCTTGCCCTTACCCTTGGCCTAGCTAAAATGGTAAAAATTAATTCTTTAAGAAACCCCTAAATCCTTTAACAAATGGATCAAAATTTTAAAACCTAGCATCCTTTAAAATGCTACGCGAGACCAGTGTTTGTTTTTAAAATTTTGTCGGACTGTCTGAATTGTTTTTAAAAGTTTTGATTTTAAATAATTTTTAAAAGAAATTTTTTTTCTGAATTGTAGAAAGATTAAAAAAACATTTCTGAATGGCGTGACGGCCGAAGAATTTTTTTTTAAAAAAAATTTCTGAATTCTCTGGCCATCGATCCTACATGGCGCGATGGCTGGAAAGATTAAAAAAAATTTTCTGCATTCTCTGGCCGTCGCTCCTATATGGCTCGATGGGCCAGAAAGCTTGTTTAAAAAAATTGCCCGTCGTGCCAAGATGGCACGATAGGCATATATTGATACCAATCAGCCAAGCCACCATATTTGACCGACTTTTTTCTATCATCTAACAATATTTTGATCAATTACCCGAAGTGGATCAGCTTATAAAAGAAAAGTTCGGTCTACTTGTGAAGGAAGTAATAGCCACACATTGATAGTCAGTCGGTACGAATCACTGTATATAGCAAGTAGTTAACTTTAACTTTGGAATGAGGTGATCCCTCTTCCTCCTAAGCTTTTTTCTTTTTAAAAAATATAAAATGAAAAAAATGAGAAAGGATATCCTTTTCCCTTATATATAAATCTGAAGGGTAAAAATCATACACTTCCACCAAAAATAAGCAAAAAATAGCAAACAATACTTAGTGCATTATCGACCGAGAATTTACTTGATAAGGGAAAAATGCACTTTTCATCCCTATTGTTTGGGTGTTGGATAATTTCATCTCTAAAGATTCAAGTAAAACACATTTCATCCTCATAGTTTTATAATTTTTACCAATTTCATCCTTAAAGTTTGATGCAAACACATTTCATCCTTATAAGTTCATAAATTTGACTAATTAAGGACAATTGATGGATTGTCAAGCAATTCGAAGGGGAAAAACCCACTTTTCGTCCTTAAACTGTTAGTTAGGGACACATTTTGTTCCCAAACTTTTAGACGCACCATATTTAGTACATGAATTAATTATTTTGGACCACATTTAGTCTAAAAACGGTAAAATATTCAATTTGGATGGAGAAGTTTGACGTGGCCGTTAATTTTGACTGAGAAATTATTTTTACTTAACGGTCACATGTCAAACGTGACTTTCTCCATCCAAATTAATCAATTTACCGTTTTTGGACTAAATGCGGCAAAAAATAATTAATTCATGTACTAAATGTGGTGCGTCTAAAAGTTTGAGGATGAAATGTATCCCTGTCTCAAAGTTTAGGGACGAAAAGTGGATTTTTCCTCTAGCAGAACTATTCTTTCCAATAGATTGCACCAAACAATATGTTATCACAAGCTGCACGTCATTTTTGGATTCTATATAAGGGAAAAATCCACTTTTCGTTCCTAAATTTTGAGTTAGAGACACATTTTGTCCCCAAATATTTTGACAAAACACATTTAGTACACAAATTAACAATTTCTAGCCACATTTAGTTAAAACAAAGGTAAATTGCTCAATTTGAGAAATTTTAGGGCAAGTACGAATTGAAGATGAAGTTTTGCTGCTTGATATGGTGGATTACTCCATTAACTCTACTCCATTTCTTGGTAGATTGTAGATTTGGAAGCTAGGGTTTAAGGATGGAAATTGTAAATCGGTGTGAAAAGGGGAAATTTGGAGAAGGAAAGCGACGAAGGTAAGAGAGAATAAAATGGTGGGTTTTGTTTCATTGGTTTAGACTGATATTTTACTTTTTGTTGATGGCCACATGATACATACATGGCCTTCTCCATCCAAATTGAGCAATTTACTGTTTTTGGACTAAATGTGGCCAGAAATTGTTAATTCGTGTACTAAATGTATTCTGTCGAAAAGTTGGGTCTCTAGTTAAAAGTGTAGGGATGAAAAGTGGATTTATTGGAATGTCATCATTTGACCAAGGAATGTCAGTTAGTAAAATACAAAAAACATTGGACCAACAAAATCCTCAAAATTTGTTTTTTAATTCACTTTCTTGTTTAAAAAATAAAAAAATTTTAGCCACCATTATTCTCTTCTTCATCACAAATTGAACAAAAAGATCGAAAGGAAATGAAGTTGTGGAGAAGAAATAACCCAATTGTAGCCAATTGGACAAATTTTTCAAACAATTCCATTGCAACCAATTGAAGAAAAATATTAAACTGAAAGAAATAATTGTTTAGATTGTCATTTATTTGCAAAACTTTGTTTTATTGCATCATATACATGTTTTTCAAGTTGTCTATCTATCATCTAATCTATTTTTTTTTATCTCACATATATCATATCACAAATTAAAAAAATAGTTTCTTATTCGAACACACTCATTATTATTTATATAATTTAATCAATGACTGAATTAAGTATAAATAATACAATTATTAACAGGAAATGCTAGTCATGTGATGATATTCCATTCAAATTGGTTAACAATCATTCAATTGTCCTTAATTGGTCAAATTTATGAAACTGTGAGGATGAAATGCGTTTGTATGAAACTTTAGGGATGAAATTGATCACAATTATAAAAATACGAGGATGAAATGGATTTTGATTAAAATTTTAGGGCTGAAATTGTCCAGCACCCCAAACATTGGGGATGAAAAATGCATTTTCCCTACTTGATAAGGACTTAGATATAAAGAATTATTAAAACAGTCACTACTTAACGGTCATTTGGCATAGAGTTCTTGAAAACTGAAATGGCTTGTAGTAAAAGAAATTGGATTCTTGACAAGTAATTATTTACATTAGAAAAATTTGTGTTAACTTCTTGCACATAAGCTTCTCAATTGTCTTTTCCATTTGGACTTTCGTGCTTGTGCATCGGTTTTGCATGTGCCATTAAATGAAAGCTACGTAAAAACAAGCCCTGGAATTTCTTGGGATCTCCTTCCCTGTATAAACCTTATGCTCGAGTAGCTATTTGCAAACGTAAAACAAGCCATGGAATTCCTAGGGCATATCCTTCTTGTACTTCTAGTCATTTTCCATGTGCATGGGGCAAATGCCTTTGCCCATGGAGTGTCCGCAAGGGCTCGTGGCTTGCACAAAATTGACCGTGGTGATGCCCCATTATCGCCAAGCTTTGGTATAGATGTACTCAACCGGAGCAGTTTCCCCAAAGGGTTCGTCTTTGGGGTTGCAACTTCTGCTTATCAGGTTTGCAATCTATTTATTTAGCATTGTTTTCTTAATTTTTTTCATCAAGGATGGAATTTAAGAAACAGAAAAGTGGTAAGCGATTTAAATCCAAAATCACTAATTCTTAGGATTTCAAACTTCACCACTACATTAAGGCTTTCACAGATATTTAGTAGTTGATTTCATGATGCCAGCCATGTTTCTCATTTTTGGATATCCTAAAATATTTGTGATGCTTTGACCAGTGCAGTTAAAATTTTTTATTTTTTGTGTTCATTTAATGTATTTTATTTATTGCACCTTGATCCTTTTCTGTAGTTGGAATTCTGAATTTGGAAGTAAAAGAGTAGATGATTAGACGACTATGAGTATCCCTCCGTTGTCGCTAAGAAGTTTAGAACGGAACTACGGATTATTATCTTGTTGGAGCACACACAGGAATGGAATGACTGACTTTCTTCATTTCATATAGGTTGAAGGTGCTTGGAACATTGACGGAAAAGGTCCTAGCAATTGGGATATTTTCACGCACAAATTTCCAGGTCTACATTTTCTCTAACCAGTAAACCTTTCTCTTCTATGTTTAAGGTTTGAGGCATTTAAGAAAAAAAAAAAAAAAGGGTTTGAGGCATTTGAATGTTCCCGGTCATTTTGTTGTTCATATATGTTTTCTACAAAATTATGGTCAACAATCCTTTTGATTGACACCAAATTTTTTCTGTTCATATGGACTCCTCTTCTCATAGTGTTTGAAGCTTTGCTTTCTACATGAGTTGGAATCGGATAGGATGTTAAATTAAATTACTATAGAAATTAAGTGCTATATGAGGCTAATTAAGTGGTATTTTGCATTTTGTACATAATCGAAAATTTTTTTCAGTGACTTACATTCCAAGGTTAATCAACTTTTGTCTATATCTTCTTGCAAGTAAAACTGTACATTTCTCTGTTTTAAGTTGTAATTAGTACTTTTGTTTGTCGTATTAAATACTATTTAATAATAGTATTGGTCTATGCGGTGAGATTTCTTATGCTTTTGTGAATATTTTTTTATACCATTTCCAATTTATTTAACATCATAATCAAGTGTTTTTCAATGCAATATGTCTAAAGTACTGATAATCTAGTCTGACCAACGTCACTCTGAAAGTACCAGGTAAAATTGCAAATGGCAGTAATGGTGATGTGGCAACAGACTCCTACCATCGATATAAAGTAATGCAAGTCAAATCTTTTTTTTTTTTTTTTTTTGTTAAAGAAAAATTAAACAGTAGTAATACAGATATGATACAGGCAGAATAAGCTAAAAAAAACCAGCAAGAATAATCGATTATTACTGTTTATCATTACTTTTTTTTTTTTTTGGCAAAAGTTCATTTCTACAATTTTATCTTTATGATCATATGACAGGATGATATCAAGCTCTTAAAGGAAATGAATGGAGATTCTTATCGCTTCTCAATTGCATGGAGTAGAGTAATTCCTGGTAAGGCATCAGTGAATAAATCTTAATTACGCTATAATTTTGGCCCACTAATTATCCAAGAAATGAAGCTCAAGTTGAATTTGATGACATACTATTACTAAACTTTACAATGATTTAATTTGCAGATGGCAAGACTAGCAAAGGAATAAATGAGAAAGGGATTCAGTATTACAATAAGCTCATAGACGAACTTCTGGCTAATGGTATATAACATTAAAAAACGCAAGGCTTCTCTTTCCATATGATCTTCTTAACGGTCTATGCATTCATCTTATCAAAGTTCCATTTGTACAGGCTTAACACCAACTGTGACAATTTTCCACTGGGACGTTCCCCAGGCTTTAGAAGAAGAGTACGGCGGTTTTTTGAGTCCTAAGATTGTGTGAGTCTTGATCCCTCTTCATATAATATTGCTATATTAATCTGTTTGGATTTCCCCCTTTTTAAAAGACAAGCTTTTCAAATACAATATTATAATAATACACAAATAAAACAATTCAAAAAAATCTCAAAAAAAGGTTACGTTTGGATTAGCCGTTTTTGGAGCTATTTTTGAAATATTTTACTGTAGTAATGTAAGTAAAAATTTTTTATTGTAGATGAGATTGTTTTTTGAGGCTATTTTTGGTGTTTTTGAGGTTTTTTTTTGTGTTTTTGAAATTTTTGAAATTGTTTTTTTTTGTATTTTATATAATTATTTTTATTTGTGTATTACTATACTATTATACATGAAAAACTTGTTTTCATAGATATTGTTACAGTAAAGTTTTTCAAAAATACACCAAAAAACAACTAATCCAAACTCAGTTAAGAAGCAATAACAAATCAACGCATATAACACATCAACAAAACACAGTTTAGCAGAAAAGCAAGAAATAAATGATTCAACAAACAAATACAATGTATGTTGATTTCGTAGTACCATAGTAAACATAATTACCGCTCCTCACATTTCAATAATTATACTTACACCCTAAAGAAGGGTTTGTATAATTTCAGGGGAGAATTGCAATTTTGTTACTCAAATTCTGAGCACTGCACCAAATTGTTTCCCAAAATTTTATCATATTTTTTTATGCAAAAAAATTTCTACAAAAAAAAAAAAAAAGGAGCATGAATTTTCCTTCGTAACTTCTTACTGTATACAAGATTAGCTGTGAATTTTCCTAAATTTACTACAGTCGTCTCACATGGTAATTTAAAAAAAAAAAAGTCCTTTATATCTTCCGCTTGATTTCTTATTCGTCCAAGAACTAGGAGACAAGAGATAATAACATACCTGAAATAGAGCTTTCAACACTTTTAATGACTTTTTTTTTTATTTGAGCAAAAGAGATCAAACTTATTGATAGAGCATTTAAGTTTGTGCAACTCAAGCAAAGAAGCCTGAATAGATGCAAGAGTATCCTTCCCTAGCTAACAACAAGAGGCTACACTATACAGAACATGAGCTAAACACTATCGAAACATTCATGGGAGACCCTTCCCCTTCCATCACCAAGTCCCAATTAGTCTTGGTTCTAGCCACACTTCTCCAAGTCCCAACCACTCCTTGAACCTCAGTAATGATATTAGATACAATTTGTACAGCAGACAAAGACCGACGCCAAAAGATAGCAGAATTTCTTGCCCTCCATGCATGATACACTCTGCATGCAGGAGCTTAACTTTTGAGTTGATCACCGAAGGATATAGACTTCCAGTGTTGACATATCCATTCAAGCTCAACAACCCTGGGGTAAGTACCCGTATATACCGCGCATAAGGCCTGTATCTTGTGCCAAATTGCAACAGCTACGGTACACTAAGAGAATAGATGATCAATGGTTTCATCTGTACATCTACATAGCACACATTCTGGACTACCTGAACAATACCCCATTTCCTCACTCTTTCTTTAGTATTTAGCCTTCTTCTGCAAGCTAACCATAGAACAAATGCAAATACGTAACCCTTGCTCCATACCACCTTGTACTAGTTTACCTTTTGTCTAATAGGTCTGAGTATTTTCAATGCTAACATGACAGTGAAAATACCAGATGAGCTGGCTAACCAGGCAGTTTGATCCTCATCAGCAATAAAGAGGACGATTCAAGAGTCATCAGAGCGAGTCGTCACGGATATAGTAATATCTGCGATTCGGAGATCGGTATTGTACTGATCCTCTCCGTTCCAGTTATGACTCAGCCGATACGTATCGGTATCGAATGATATAGCGGGCCATGTTTGCATCTAGGATGGTACTCATAATTAGACTTGGAGATATTAGCAGTGAAAAGCATAGAAAATACCTCCATAACAAGAAGAAAAAGATAGGGAGAAATAGGATCTCCTTGTCTTAATCCTCTTTCACTATGAAAATATCCCGTTAAAACACCATTTAAGGTGATAAAAAATTAAGCCATGGCTACACATTTCTTTACCCATAGAATAAATGTTTCAAGGAACTGCATTAGCTTCATAGTGTGAAAAAGAAACTCCCAGCTTAATGTATCATATGTCTTCATTATGTCAATTTTCAAGATTGCTCTAGGCTTTGCTCCTTTTCTACTGTAACCCCTTACTAGTTCATGCATCACCAATATATTGTCCACAATCTGCCTCCCTTCAACAAAAGCACCCTGGTATTCAACAGTTAACAATTTTATGCTGACATTTTGCATCCTTTTTATACCAATCTTTATCAATTTTTCACCCTGGTATTCTTTTGATACCATTATCATTTTTGCATATTCAGCACTTAACAATTTTATTTTACTGATAAGATCGGTATCAAAAGGTTGCTCTCACCTCAATAGTTGTATTTGTGAAAAAATGATCCTTTGTCTGCATCACTCTGGAAGATATTTGACTATAGCTGCTTTATTTCTCCTCTATACCATAGTCAACATGAACTGAGTATTCCTATGTACAACAGAACAAGAGATGGTCTGCTCACGTTTGGCTATCATAGTACAATTGACATTATGTTTCCAACAAAATAGAACTTTGCTAACACTAGTTTTAGTACCATTATGAATATACTGCCAACTAGGAAAACAAAAAGAGGCAATATGATTGATGTTACAAAGCCTCACTTTACTCTCTACAATACCAATGATGTCATAGTTTGTACTATTTACAATTTTTCTTAGTTCCAATTGCTTAATAGGTCATTCAATCCTGCAATATTCCAGAATAGTATTTGCATATTAAAGGGTAAATAGTTTGGTACTTCCCTTCTTCCGGGCTCCTTTTCTGAATTTCTCAACCTTTAATTCTGCATTTTGTTTGGTAGACTCCATCTCTACCCCTCAGCTAGGGGATTGTAGGTGTTCCTTGTCTGTAAAGGAGCATCAATATTCTGCCTGGCTTTTTGACCTTCTATTGCCTTTCTTCTGCTACTAGCCACTGCACTATGCTTCTGCATCATCCAATGTTTCTGGTCAAAATTCTCTCTAGTAAGCAACATCCTTTCCTGGTCTGGAGAGCTCTCCACAATATCAGCCACTTCATGATCTAATACATCATTGACAACTCCAACAACTACCTCATTTCCAGTATAACCCTGATCCCAGCATTTTCCTGAGCCTTAGATTCAGAGATAGTACTCGTACAACCAGCATCCAATATTGCATTCTGCTTTCCTTCCTCAAACACAGGCGATTTTGTTTCCTTGCCATCCGCATTCCATTTTGTTGGCTTCATTTTAGGCATCCATTTTGCGGTAAGTTTAAGATTCAGGGGTAATGAAGTATGATGATGCCCAAATTTCTTACACTTATCACAGTTCACTGGAACCCATTCATAAACAAATTCCTGATAATCCATTCGTCCAAATTCATTTATGTAAGGTATCCTAGATGGTCTTCCAGTATCAACTCTGAATTCAATACAAATTCTAGCATATGAAACTCTACTTTGAGTGGCAGTTTGTTTATCAGTGTATAACAGCTTCCAAGGTAACTGGCAAATTTACAAAGCCCAGCTTCAGTATAGTAATGACGTTTCAAATGTGGGAGACGAACCCAGACTGGAATTACCTCCAAATCCTCGCTTTTTTATATCCAAGTTTAGAGTCCATGGACGCAGGTATAGCATTTTGCTTGCCAATGACAAAGGTGAGCTTTCCAGATCACGTAATTTGCTCTCCTCATTCTCAAATTTGAAGATAAAGACTCCATTGCGCAATGAGATAATCTCTACCTGCCCTAATTCCTTCCATCGATAGTCCACAAATCTCTTCATCACAGAATAGGGAGGAGAGTACCCTAGGGTAAAACCCACTGCATGCTTCCCATTCTCTCATGGTTCAAAACTCAGTTGAGCTAGAGACGATTTAAACGAGTCATCACCGGAACGGAGCTCTATGTTTCGATATTAGAACGAAATGACTCCGAGATACATAGACTGCTGAGAACTCGGTTGAGAAATTTTTTACACAGATAGAAACGATCGAGTTATCTTGAGTCATCCCTTTACTAATTTTACAAATTTTCTTTTGTCAAATTTTTTTATTATTTTTGTTTACTATATTTTCTTTATATTATTCATAATTTTCAAAATATTAATATTCAAAATTTGCATTTTATGCCTAACCGATATAAGAACAATTCACGCTGCAACCGCAATCGCGATCTCCTTTGAACTATTTTCAGTAGCTACGTGAACAGGGCAATTAGGATTTGGCGGACGAAATTGCCAAGGCATTCCCCTGTGGACTCGCCCAGCAACTTGACCCCAAGATCTGGGTTGCACGCGAGGATCCTTATTAACAAAAATGATTGTCACTAAATTGACCAAGTACGACAGCAAGCTGTCCACTTCGACTCAAGTCTGCCAACGAACTTGGGCCGCCATCCTCTGGTCGTTAGTAGCAGACGCCGAAGCCGTAGAAATTTTCAGGCGTTGAGAGCTACAGGGGCGGTTACAACGGGAACAAGAAAACCACAACAAAACTAAAGAAACAAGAGAAAAACAATCAAAGAAAAAAAAAAGGAGAAGAACGCACAAAAACAGAACAGATTTGATCCAGTAACGGTGAAGAGAGCTTCGGCGCCCGACTCTAAGGGCCAATTAGGATTGCAATAGCTTATTTAAAAGTACCTCCTTAATAAAGTTTTCAATAAAAGTACTTATTAAAAGTTTAAGTACTTTTAAATATATTATTTAGAGACATAGTTCAATAAGTACTTATTATATTAGATAATATGTAATTTCAAAATTTTAAAAGTGTTTATCTCTTTATTTGGTTCATAATATAGGATAAAATAATTAAATTTGATGTTTTATTTTTTAAATCATAAAAGCTATTCTAAAAGCTTTTACTAAGAGTGTTTTTAACACCAAAAACTTTGTTCTTAACTTTATAGAATAATATTTAGAGTAAATTTTATATACATAATTAGTGTATACACTATTATAGTTGGATGGATGACAGATAAGTGAATTTTAAATTTTAAATTCAAAATTTGCACATGTCATATATCTAATGGTTGCATTGCATACATTAACAATGTATATAAGATCAATCCTAATATTCACTAAATATTTTAAAAGTACTTTTAGCACCTAAAAATATTTTTTAATTAAAAGCATCGCGACTCCAAACGAGACCTAAGTCATAAGAAAGATAAGTCCTAATGCATAGTGCACAAGCAAAAGCCTTAATTTGGAATGCCTTTAGTTTAACCATTATTATTCTTTATAAAATACGGCCACCAAATGAACTTTCCACAGGTAATAAATCAAATGGGAGTAATTCGTAGTGTAAAACTTGATATGCATCCGGTTCTACATTTGATGGTGCTATGTACTTTGCAGAAAAGATTATCGCGACTTTGCCAACTTATGCTTTGAGAGGTTTGGTGATCGAGTGAAACATTGGATCACATTTAATGAACCTTGGACCTTTAGTACAATTGGTTATGAAAGTGGTGCCTTTGCCCCTGGTCGATGTTCTGCTTGGAAGAACAATAATTGCACAGGTGGAAATTCAGGGACTGAACCCTACTTGGTGGCACACCACCAACTTTTGGCCCATGCTGATGTAGTCAAATTATACAAGACAAAGTATCAGGTTACTCATTATATATTTGATTTTAACTCATAAATAACTTAATAATCAATTTTGAGTTTTGAATTCCCTATTACTGATTAAAGTGTGAATTTGTTTTAGGCTCACCAAAAAGGAAAAATTGGGATTACACTGGTTAGTGACTGGTTTGTGCCATTTTCCAATTCAGCTCTTGATCAACGAGCAGCCATTCGCGCCCTTGATTTCATGTTTGGATGGTAAGTACGCCAAACTATTCTGCGAGAAGGTGATCATCAAATAATGTACAAAGCAGCCCCCGTAAGAATATTTTTGGGCTAGCACCTATTCAACAAAACATAATAATGTTTGTAAAGGATTTCATTCTGCTTCTTACGGATACATGAAAAAAGTTAGGACTAAAATTACTTCCTCCAAAGAACATTAATATTTTTATGCTATTCTGTATGCAATTTAGGTAGTGAGTAATAATGACAAAAATTTTCTAACGGGCTCACATCATTTTTTGGTGTGCTTATGATCGATGTGTCTTTAGAATACAAAATAAACACAACATATTGACACCTATTCAAAATTGGCATGTGTTTTAGGTTCATGAATCCTTTGGTCTATGGTGATTATCCCCCTTCAATGAGAATTCTTGTTGGCAATCGGCTTCCAAAATTCAGACCTCAGCAATCTAAGAAATTGATAGGATCATATGATTTTCTTGGCTTAAACTACTACACAGCTAATTATGCTGTCCATCTTGCATCTCCTCCAAATAAGGTGAACGTAAGCTATAGCACAGACGGGCAACTTAACGTAACAGGTAAGTTGAGTTCAACTTCCAAAAATGCTATTACATTTAATCTACCTAATATGCCTATGCTTTTGGGTACTCTACTATTATCAATGGATTTTGAATAATATTACGGCGTATATTATTATTTCAGCGTCGCGCAATGGGCAACTTATCGGTGTACAGGTAACTATTTTTGTACCTTAGAACTATGTTTTGTCCAAATTTTGACCGTCTAATTTTTAACCAAAAGAAGATATTTGTGCAATCGATTCAAATAATTCTATACAAATTTCAAAATTGATTATGCAGGCTGGTTCAGATTGGCTTCATGTTTATCCAAAAGGGCTTTGGGATCTTCTTATCTATATAAAAAGAAAATATAAGAACCCAATCATTTATATTACAGAAAATGGTATTCTTCTACTCTTTTCCACTTCTTATTTTCTTTGCCTATATATATATATATATATATATATATATATATATATATATAAACTCACTATTAATCTCAATTTTTATCTCTTTCTTGAGGGGTTGATGAGAAAGACAATCAAACATTGACACTTAAGCAAGCTCTTAAAGACAACTTTAGAATTCAATATTATTATCGTCACCTTCAATTTCTTCGAAAAACAATCAGGTAAGTATCTTGAAATACGTCAATGAAGATCATAAACAAATTACTTGCTCCTGTAATTATATCTGATATTTTAATTAACCCTTTTTAACTCGGTTTTCGTTTTCCCATTTTTTCTTTTTTAATTTGCAGCAATGGCGTTAGAGTGAAGGGATACTATGGCTGGTCACTTATTGACAATTTTGAATGGTCTGATGCATATTCCGTCCGTTTTGGGATCAATTATGTAGACTACAAAACCTTGCAAAGATTTCGCAAACTTTCTTCTTATTGGTTTGAGAGGTTCCTCCGCAAGTAAAATGTCTACGCATGAATTTGTCACATAAGGCCGTGCCTAGCTCTATATCCGAGTGGGAAGAAGTGTAAAACAACATCAGCTGGAATTTGTTAGAATTTTCTCATTTTGATTCATTTACAGAATAAATGAAAATGGGCATGAATAGTAAGCAATCCCATTTTTTCTTTTTTCCTTTTCGATTCTATCAATCCTATTGAAAATGCAAATCATCATGCATGTCCAATTTCGGTTTCTCGTTTCTGATTATATTCTTAGAAATGAATATTTTCGAGTCCTTTTTTTTGGCAAATTACACTTTATTTCTTGTGATTTAGTATTTTTGTACATAACCCCTCATAGTTTCACAAGCTATACATAACCTCCTTATAGTTTGGATTGAAGTATCAAAGTAACGGAATTTGCAATCCATAATAGAGTCATGTAAAATGTCAAAAATACCTTATGTAAAGTTGAAAATTATATATTAACCACAGGGGGTTATGTATATATTTTGAAAATCATAAGGGAATTTTATGGTAAAACATAAAATCATATGAAGTTAGTGCGTCATGTATATTATATTTATATATTTTGGTCACTTCAACTATTTTAATTTTTAAACAAGGATAATTTCAACATTTTTAAAGGTTCCGTTACGAATGATTATTTCCGTCATTTTGACACTTTAATCCAAATCATGAGGGAGTTATGTATAGTTTTTGAAGCCATAAGGGAGTTATGTACAAAAATATTAAATTATAGGGGGTAAAATATAATTTGCCCTTGTCTTTTCATGAGAAATACATTTCTTGTGGCTTATGTTGTTGATGCTCCAATATGGGAACGTGATCTTACAAATCAAATATATTACCATGATTGACTATAAAAAAAGCTTCCGTACAAAATTCTCGAGATTTAAAGACATCAAATCCTGGATTAGGTTCATTTCCTGTGCTCCATCTTACACCAAATATATAGGTAATACTTATCCTTTTATTCAAGGGTATCCATTGTGGTTTGCTGCATTATCGCATAATTCTCCTATAGTTTAAAAACGTACATATAACTATATCATGGTTTAGGTTAAAGTTATCATTAGTTTTTTCATTAAAACTTACGGTCAATAGTAAAAAGTCAAATTCAAGCTAATAAATTGACATATTCACCTTTTCACTACTTTTTTTCTTTTTTTTTCTTTTCTTTCTCTCACTCTCTCTCTCTCTCTCTCTTTTTTGGAAAGAGAAGAGATGATTTTGAAAACCTATAGTTTGACCTACAAAATCTTAATTTTCTCCAAATATAAAAGGAATAGAAGGGAAATAAAAAATAAATAAATAAGAAATAAAAAAGATGAAAGGGAAAACAAAACAAATAAATAAGAATAAAAATTCCAAATCTGTTTTATTACAAATATCATTATAGGCTTTGAAACCAAATCATTACGGGTATTTTCTTATTCTTATGTATCAATTTTTATTTCAATTTCTTCTTTTTTATATTTGGAGGGAAAAAGAAGTATTGAAAGCGTAAATTTGTCAATTTGTTAGTTTAACTTTGACTTTTTACCATTAGCCATTAGTTTTGATGTAAAAACTAACAATGACACTTTAATCTAAATCATGAGAGAGTTATATTCAGGTTTTTAAACCTTAAGGGCGTTATGTGGCAAAACACTAAACTGCAGGGGGTAAGAGGTAATTTAACCATTATTTAAGTTCAATGGGTCTAAAGGTGATTCAAGCACTAATCAATCACAAGCAGATACAGCTGCAGAGTAGAACAAAAAAACCTGCGATCTAAAATCTACAACCTAACAAGTGACAAACAGAAGAAGAACCAGAACAATACCAATAACAAAGCCAAGTGGAGAGAAAATTTCAGCTGAAATTGGAAAAGAAATTAACAACAACTGACAAAAAGATGACCCGAATTATAGAAGAACTCAATTATAATTGACTTTCTTTAGTTATAAGTTATAACAAAAAAAGTGACCTCATGTAGCAGTAAATATGAAAAAGGTGATCGAATTGATTGCATCATCACTTGACTATGCCATCGCTCCACGCAGAAATTAATTTAGGCAAATTTATTCTTTGATCAAATGTCCTTTTTTTTATGAATTGATCTATATTTTTCTGGTCAGGATTGGGAGCAATGACCAAGTCGAAGCAAACCTAATACTTCAAGCAGTTGATAATACTAACGTTTCAAGAAGCTGAAGTAATCTTGTAAGATCTAAAGAAATAAAGCTTGATTGGAATTTGAACTTAATTTAGCTTTTGTTTTCCTTTTATTAAAGGCACTGATATCCTCCTTCACTTGAAAATTAATACCGTCTCCAGAATATAAAAAAAAGTAGTATTTTGGGAGTTTCAACAAATGGCTTTACTTATATATTAGAGATAGTTTAATAAACCTCCCCTGAAATTCTGACAATTTCACTGAGATTCTTTGAGATTTCAAACATGACATTTACCTCCTTTGATTTGACCATTTTAGTAACCAAACAATTGTATATACAAGGAATAAATTTCAAGTTTTTCATACCCATATTTATTTTTTGGTAATCAATTATGGCAATAAATTTACCACTATGATAAGTTATTTTTTATGGTACTTTACTGTAATGGGGATGTAGATTGTTTCTAAGATGGAGAAGAAAGTGTCCCTATGATTTTTTAAAGTTTGTGAATTTTTTTGAGATGTGGAAGTACCAAAGTTTCATAGTGGTTTAAAGCCAGTTTGTGAAATTTTTGAGCTGTGGAAGTGCCATAGTTTGGTAGTGTTTTAAAGCTGTTTTCCTTTTGAGTTATTGTGGATTTTGACACAAAAAGAAATTCATAAAAAATTGTATCATATTCAAAATTATCAGAAAATATTTCCAATTTGCCATTTGGTCATAATAGAAGTTAGGGATAAAATTGATAGTTCTATGGTTTTGCTGACAAAATATAAAAGAAAGGATTAAGAAGGAAAAAAATAATTAGAAAACTCATTCTCTATAAAAGCATACCAATTAAAAGAATTTTATTACAATGTTAAGGCTCGCATCATCCATTTAAATAGACAAGAAAGGTAAGTGTAAAATTTTAAGAGTGTTCAATGAAATTGTGAGATACCTCAAAGGAGATTTCTGAAATTATCCCTTTAATTTAACACAAAAAAGTAGTTATAGTTGAACTGGAACAAAACTTAAGTGAAAAATTAAGATACTACAATGATGAGCTATAGTTGACAGAAATAAAAATGGCACTTGCTTATCCGACTCTGGCAATTTTTTTTTTTCTTTATAGACAGAACAAGTAATACACACAAGTAATCCGATCCTGGCAATTGAAAGTGCAATATTTATTGTGACGTTTCCTTTGAATCTGTGCACTGATCTGATATACCGGCACGTAAAGATTGCCTCAGATTACACAAAACTGGCTACGTGTGACTTCTCAACTTTTCATAAATATGAAATTAAATTCGAAAATATTACTTTCATTATCATATAAAAAACAGTTGCAGTTGAACATACTAGTTCATACTCTTGTTGAATTTTAAAAAAAGAAAAAAAAATACTAGAATGATGGGCTTGATTTGACAGAAATACAAATGGCACTTGTTTATTCCTTCCTGACAATTGAAAGTGCAATTTTTATTCTCACGCTTCCTTTGAATCCGTGCATTGATCTATCGGCAAGTGAAGATTGAATCTGATTATACAAATCTACGTGGGGATTTCTCAACCTCGAAGAAATGAGGTCATAGTTTAACTATTGTAAATTAAATTCCGAAATTTTACAGGACAATATTAGACAAATATCGGAAAGCATTAGAAGACACAACTTTTAGTTATGGGTTAAGATAATCAGCTACAAAAAGATGAAGAAAACTACTAATGAGTGCTTGTTTTGCATGTTTTTCTATGGTTTGTTATGCATATTTTAGTGTGTTTTTATTTAAATTCAAATCAAATAACTAGGTTTCTAGTTAGATTTTGCATTTTGAGGTTCAAGTGAGGAATATTGTGTTTCTATCAATTTAAGTGGTTTAAACTTCATATTTTTATAGGTTTTAATAATTCAATCATCAATTGGAATGAAATGAGAAAATATTTGAGTGATTTTTGATGATTTAAAGTGATTTTGAGTGAATATAAAGTGCAAAATGTTCAATAAGATGAAATGCAATCAAAATCAACAAAATATAAGATTGGCTGCCTTGACATGTTCTGGTATCTTAGTTATAAGTATTGGATTGAGATTATTCTTGAACCATTTTGAAGTTATGATGACAGACTACAATTCTTATAAGTTATCAAAATCCAGTTCTATTGTTTTCATAGCCTAATGTCTAAATTACACAAGAATTTTTCTATTTTGATGATTTGAAACAGTTTTTTGAGCAATGGGGAGTATTTTGATTATAACTCATCACCCAACCTACAAATGATTTGATTCTTGATCTATTGGAAAGAATGAGCTACAACTTTTCCGTTTTAAATGAGAGCTAATTTGAAGTCCTTTTGATGGACCCAAATAGATAAATACACATAATCCATAGGAACTGATAACAGCTAAATTTGTGATCTTTTTTAATGTGTTTCATATCAGTTTTGAGTCCATTTGTAAGATTAATTTGTATAAATTATCTATTTTATGTCATTAATTTGCATCTTAAGTGATTAATGAATTATTATGATTTTATCATTTTACTTGTAAAATTTCTTTGGTTTTGTAGGTAAAATGATTAAGCTTAATTAGATGTCAAATGAGCGAGGATGAGAAGCTTGAGGAGTCACAACAATAGCTAAAAGAAATGGTGCAGGGAAAGGATGAAACTTGAAGAAGAAAAGAAAAAAAAATGGGGAGAAACCTTGGATGAAACTGCCCATGGTTTGTGGCCAGTGAAGCTGTTTCGCACTGTTCTGTACAATCCTTGGAAGAATCCCTCCAGGGATTCGTCCGAGGGATTTATGGTGGTTGTAACATGCCAACTTGCATGGCTTCTCTTTCTTTTTTCTTTTTTTTTTT